TGTGATCCATACTCAGCAGCATTGTATATTTGATGTGGTTTAAGCATTTTTTCTTATACAAATTTCTGTAATTCTTTGTGGAATCTATTGGCTGCAGCATCACTGGCATTATGTCTTCCTCCCTGTATAGAAATTTCACAAGTACCGTGTCATTGTTTGCATCTGGTCACCCATCCAATACAGACATTGAACTTCCCTTCCAACCCCAGAGTTTCATGAAAAAAATTTGCTGTCTGTGCACACATGTGACCAGAGAATGTTTCTTCTGCTCACTTCTGGTTGAACTACTTAAGGAGGGCAACATCAACCTCTTCATATGAAGACTTTTGTACTTTGTGGTTGGAAGATCCAACACCACTGTCACAGTCTCTTACATGTTCCTTTAACTTAATTTTGTTGTTCTTCATGTCATGTATGGTGTGTATTCCTCTCCCATAATCTTTGGCCAATTTTGTTATCAATTTTCCATTTTAAAACTTTTCTCTAACTAAAGCTTTTGTTTTACTGTCAATACAGTTTTCTTACATTTAACAGCCATTTTACTTATGACCCAGAAGTGTTAATAATCACTTTTACCTAACTGATGCACAGTACAATGTAACAGGACTCTAATATTTGAAAAAAAGCAGTTGTAACATCCCCTCTCTCGACCATCATGACCAGTGGAACAAACCTCCCCACACCATCACCAATACTGACTGAAAAAAGTAGGTAGTTTTTGACCATATCTTCTATTGGAGGGGTGGGTAGTGGAAACAGCAGGCAGTACAGTGTATAAAGTTGTGAGCACCTAGTTTGCACTTGTCTATGTAAGAAAATGTCATGCGCAGATAATCCTCAAAGTTAATCAGGAATTTACTGTGTGTGTAAAAATGTTTAATTCATGTGTGGATCTGAAGTCTCTTCTCCATTCTCAGATTATTTAAATTTATTTAAATTCTCAACCACATATGGGTTATACAGTATGGCATTTGATTACACTTGATGGTATGGTTTGTGTTGCCCTCTGTGAAAATCTGAACATTATATCTTGATTATTTGTATGCCTGTACAAACTGAGGGCATATTTTGTTATTATATTCAGAAAACCCAGGTTTTGTGGTCAGAGGAATAATAATTTGAAATGTTCTCTTACATTAAGCTTACTTTAGGTGAATTGACCCATAGAAGTGATGTGATTTGAATACCGCAAAGGGTGGAAATTTTAATATATTTAGCGTATGAATGTGAGCATACTACAGTATGTACAAATGTCAGATTCACAGATCTAATTAAAAATATGTTACATGAGTGTTATATTGTGTTAGATCTGTGGTTTTCACAACAGTGAGGATGATGGTATTCTTCTGGGTTTAGGTGCCATGTAGCCCTAAAGATGGAGACAGTATGTTTCTTTGAAACATTGGCATCTACCTATGAATCTACATGGTGCCAACATCAACTTTTATATTTTTTAACTGTGTATGTGTCTTATGTAATGTTCTTATTATTTGTATTGTGAGCATATTTTGAGAAATTTCACACTGTTGGATTTTAATGTACGGAATACTGACGAACTGTATTCGCATGCAACTCTCTGCACTTTATAATGATGGTCAAAGACATATAGTTGCATTCTGTGGGTGAGGCTTGTAGACAATTATTTTGAAATGAGTGGCTTTATAATCAAGCATGAGTGTTACTTTACACACATAAAGCTATATATGGGTGCCATAGATGTTCATTCATAATGAGACAAGAAGTTGCTGCTGTAAGTTAAGTTTAAAGTTGCAAGCCAAATAATGCCAGTCAGAAATGTTTGATCTCCAATGTAGTTGCTGTGGGTACAATTAACAAGTATGATTATGAACAAAGAATATATCTTTTCATTGTTAGCAAATGCACAAAAGAACTTTACACATTTAAAATGGTACAGAAAATAAATATGGCTTCCTTATGGTGTGTTAGCACAAAGAAAAACTTCCCCCATTGCTTCCATGTAAACAGTTGTCATTAACATACAATTTTTTATATATATATATATATCCCTCCTTCTATTGAGATTTAACCTGCTCAGGGCAAGAATATTCATATGATATTATCTGTCTTATTTTATCAGTTTGTTATGATTTTGTGTTTTTACAGTTCCATGGTAATATGGCACAGGATATTAATGAGAGAGATCTGACTGAGGCTGTGATGGTTGTTACTGATCAGATGATGTATTTATAAAAGTGTACTTAATATGTTTGATGCTGTTGTGATATTGTTTATTTGTTTTCATTTAACATACAAATTATTGTCAAGCTGATTAGTCTAGTGTTCTTCATCGTGTGAACTTTGGTGAGTCTTGTGGGTTTTGTTATAATATGTTTACTTTTTCCTGAATGCACTGCAGGCATGGGATGATGCCCACAGTTTTATTAAGTGCCAACATGGTGTTGTTTATAAGTTTTGACTGATCCTCACAAAATGATCAAAGATGAGAAAACGTCCAGTTCTCAGTTTGTTAACACCTTCATTCTAGTGAAGATACTTATGTTAGGAAAATGTGCAATAACAGTGTTTAGAAACCCATACAATATTTCAGACATCCCCCACACATTTCAATTCAAAATTCCTAATTTAAAATAAAAAAAATGGATTAGCTTCCCTCGCAACTTTACAGTGCACTGTCCCACTGCAGAATTGTTCTGCCCATAATGGTGAAGGATTAAAATGATTATATCTCAAAGCACAAAGGAGAGTTTTGTCTTCATCCTAAACTGTGCTGTGTCAGTTGTTAATTCGTTGTGGGATTTTATGTTTATTTTGAAATTAACTGTGTATCCATGGATAAGTTGTGAAGTATGGAATATATGATGAAGAACAGTTTCTCAGTGATGATACTGGATAATGTCATTTACCTGCTGCCACACTGTAATCTCTTCAGCATGAACCATGTTGTTTTTAATACTCATCAACATGCATTTAAGGGGCTGGCCTGACATTAGCCAGGAATACTGCGTACTCTGTTCGGTATAAAATTTTTAATTAATTTGTTCTCATGACAAACTATTTTATAAAACTATTTCCTTTGGAATTACCTATTATCAGACAAATGTTTTCCACAATTTTATCTTTTTCTGAGCTGAATGACAGTGCAAGAAATAAATGTTTGTTTTGGTAATATGCAGAAATAATTTATTGAAGAAGGCATGAATGATTCATGTTTTGATTTCCCTATATTATTATTATTATCATACTGAACAATAAAATATTATTTTAAGGGTTTCCATGGAAATAATGCTATATGTATATGAATTGTGTGAACTTTTACTTTTATGTGCAATAAATTGTGGCTGTCTTGGCTATTAAGCAGTGGATTGTAAACCTGTTTGATAAAAATGAATTTAAGTGAATAATACTTCCTTGAGCAAATGGAGGACCTTCCATCAGTCTGTCAGGGTGTGTGTGTTTCAGATATGAATGAATGGAATTATTATAGTTATGTGCAGAAACTACTTTTCAGTTTGAGATGAGAATTTTCCCTACTATACCAATTTTTTCACTGTAATCACATTTATAACACCATCCATATTTTCATAACTTACTCCTTTAACCATTTAATATCAGATTCCTTTTCAAAGAAAGAGAAACAAAATCAGCATATTTAAAAAGGAATTCACTTTTATAGCCAAGTTCTTTTTAACCACTTACTAATCAGAAAAATTTGAATACCAATTTCTGGACCTCATTCACAACTTATTGCATCTAAAAATTTTCCTCAGAAGTTTGTCAGTATGAACACAATATTTGTTGCAGTAGTTTACCATAACCCTTATAGATTTATATGGCAGAAAAATCTTACAAATTTAGGATAAAGTAAGTGGTGGGAAACTATATTATGTCTCTTAGGCTTGTTTATACCAAAATATCAAGATACACTGGAACCTCATACTTGCTCTTTTCTGGAACTGGCTAAAAGTATTGTGAATTGCCAGAAATTGAAGGAAAAAAAATCATAACCTTAACCCTTAGTTGGAATACACAGTACACAATGGTAGTAAATTACTGAGCAATGGATGTACATTTTTACAACATGTACTTCCAATAAACAAAAAATATACAGTGCATGATGCAAAATAATTTGTCAAACACAAGGGCCATAATAGTTCTTAGACACAATGAAGTGTATATTTTACTTAAGAATTTATCTTGTATTCAGATTTTTTGATGCATGAATGTCCACACTGAATTTTCCTTCTTAAGTGGCATGATGGTTTATGGCTACTGCATTAGAATTGATACTGATATTCCATATTGTTTCATGAAGAAAATACATTGGTTCCCACATGGTATTTAGAACTTTTTATCACTATTAGTTGACATCATGGTCAGGTATTCCATTTATCACTGGTTTTATTGAATAATGATCCCTTCCTAATACTGTCTATAAAAATATTATGAATGCTAGTGCTCAAGCCATTTTGAATTCTTGTTGAGAAGTTAACAGTTGATGTGATTTTAAATGATGTTAATGTGAAAGTTTGGCATTGTTTATGTTGACATTTGATAACTATTGATAATATAATTTACTCAGAATGGCCCCACATATTTTAGTAAGGGAGTTTTGGATTGATTACGTGAAATGTTCCCATCGATTCAGAACCCTGATGATGGAGGCAGCAAGGAACTCTGAAACAATGGTAAACTTTACCAGACTGCACCTTCCAACATTTCGAAGTACAGCCACCTTTGTACTCTGCCTGCAGAACCTAAAATTCCATTTTCTGATAGATATAAATACAGTGTTGCTACATAAGCAGTTTACCCACACTAATTTTTAAAAACGGATGAAGTTCTTCTGCAGTAGCAGGGACTAAGGTTGTAATTATTTGTTGAGTTATAAATAGTAACTTGAATTGTGCAGTTTGTGTGATAATGAGCGTCTTTTTTACCGATACATCTCTTGTTAGTGGGCACTGTGTAGTTTAGTATCACTGAGGATAGATGACAGAACGATATGTGCTTGACGTCATATTCCATCTCTTTTGCCAACTTAAGGCAATGAGTAACTGATATGTACGTTGGTAATTTGTAATCATTGTAAGGTAGTGGAGTTGGTATAAGTTTGAAGTAAGAGAAGTAGTATATGAGGATATTTAATTTTGTAACCCAACCTTAGGAGGTTGCGTTGAACAATGGGAACAGTTCACGCCAAGGTATATGGTTATTGAAATGTATTTTAGGTTGTGTAGTCGTTACACTAATAGTTATACTACGAATGGTCATTGCTACGATCATTTCTTTGTATACATTTAGTATGTTAATGATGTTGTCCCTCTTCAGCGGACCGTTGGAGCAAGTGATTTACAAATGCCGGTATGTTAGCTTGTTCCGCTTGCTTTACAGTGGCTTTGTATTGCCAGTTAGCCAAGGGAAAATTTATTTTATATTGGGATTCCTAAGAATACCTTGCCCACTACAGGAATGAGATTCCATTCTCTCTTCCTAGTCTGAGCAAGATAACTGGTTGGTTATTACATTTTATTTGTATACAGGACATCCGCAGATAGAATTCTAAAATTTTTAATGGCTTTTGGCAGTTCTAAGTTAATTCCTAGATAGCATGGCATATCAGAATGGGTTGTAGTTGCTTTCCATTATGCACTTAATTTTTTGTATTGTTCCTATGTAACTAATTAATTTGATGATGGAGGTATACGTATGGGCAGTGAAGATTTTGCTGAATTGTTTAGCAGGTTGGAGAAATGGTAAAAATTCAGTGTATGTAGTCAAGGGTATCTTTCCTTCCACTCTGTCCTGATGAGCACTAAACAGCATTTTTGCTGATGGGTAGAAAATGAAGTTTTTAAAACAGTATAGGAGAATTGGTTATAGGTCTTGTAATGTAACTGAAAAATCTCCGAAAGCATTCTCAGTGCAACTTTGTCATACAGACCACCATAGAATGAGTTATTGATGTTTTATGTGTTGGAAGGTCTATATCTTAGCTAGCAGTGTGATTTAGTTCTAAGACCAGGAAGCAAAAGTAAAACTTTTCATAAAAATTTTACAGTGGTAAGTGTACGTTAGTCTGTAACTATAGATGGCTATCAGATTTTTGTCTGATCAGGCTGGGTTTCAACCCCTCCTTTTTTTGCTTTTATCAAATGTTTCTATGAACCTTTGTGCCTTTCATTTGATAGCACACCACTTTTGTTCACCAAATCATGTCATTCTCCTCCCAGTACTAGATTTATGTGATGTCTGCTTTTCCCATTTGCAGACACTCATGGTGCTACAAATTATAGAAGTAAGATGGAGAACAGTTGATGGTGGTTCTGATTCTCTCTCTAGTTGTAGGGAATATTTTTAATGTAACTAATTGAATAAAATCATCAGGAATTATAACTAGTAAGTGCTGGCCCTGATCTTCAACCCTAAGTCAGGGGCTTCATATCTGACCTGACACGTTGGTCTCCGAGCATACCCTACTTAATTCAATATTACTTATCACATTATTTAGTCTTTGTAATTTTGGGAGTTAGGTTCAGGTGGCATACAGAATAAAACATCCATATCTAATCTTACCCCATGTATTTAAACAAGAATGAATTACAATTTAATACAAAACATTCATTTAGCAACACTAATGCCTCTACTCAAGATATATGGAGAAGTAAAAAGGCCAGTTTCATTAACAGTTGTGAAGTGCAGCAGCAGAGAAATATGAATCCAATTAGAACATAATTTCCACCTCTTAAAATTATCAGACGTGATTTATTTTTACTTGTTACTGGCAGCTTTTGAGAAAATATACACACAGTTTTGGTTCTAGAATTAGTTATGACTTTTGCTATTAAAAGAAATTTTTTTGCCATTACAGGACAAAAGGGAGCCCTACCCACATGATACAGAACAGCAACAAATACATTTGGATGGTGTCAAGGTATGCATATGCAGTTTGTACAACTAAAACAAGATATTGAAGGATGGATTTACTGTTGTACATACAGTGGTTCTTCATTAAACTACACTTTATTTACTACAACTGTGTAATATCTATAATAGGAGGAAAAGAAAGTTACTGTGAAGTATGAAGCTTATAGTTGTAGGTGTTCTTAGTGGTCTTAGTGGTCTTGAAGAATTTATTTTTGGGAATGGGGCACATTCAGAATTCAAACTTTGCTAAGGACATGCATGGAAACTCTGTGTATTCCAGTACAAATCACACCTTTCCATACTAGTTTATTCTTTCTAGAAGTTGAAAAGTAAATTAAAGTTTTTGCTCAGCAGCGTTATTGTTGTTATATAGTCTACAAAACAGTGCCTTATAAAAGTTGCATATTTTTGTAGTGTTTCTTGCTATACATAATTTCAGAACTCCACATCAAGTGGTGCTAATGGTTGCTCGCACTTCGCATGCCTTTACGCCTGCCATGTGACTATTTATTATAAGATATAAAATGCATGAGAATGGGGTGGCATAACATTTAATGAGAATTAATCATTGCTTTGAATGTTGAGAGGGGGTTACGTAAATATGTGGACAGCTTGGTAATTTCATAAACCTGTTTTTTACCTTAACAAAGGAAAATAGCTAATAAAATTATTACATTTGGAGACAGCCTCCAAATAAGTTTTGATTGCATTTAGCCACAATGAAAATTTGAGATTTAAATTGTGGTGCTGATGATACATTCAGTATTTTTGAATTTCTGATAAGTTGCTTACTGGAGGATTGTTTACTGGTTCCCTCTTGGCTGATATTATTTTAGCAATATTTATGTAATTTAAGAATGAATTATTTGTTACTTCATGAACTGAACTTCAAGCAGAAATTGGTTTAGGTGATTGCTGTAGAACACTTTAATGAGAAAAATACATGCAGCGTATACAATTTAATGTACAGTGAAACAGTTTTGATTAATTTGGATGAAACTGTTGCCATATTAAATTTGGAAGTACGTTTTACATTTCAGTTCAGTATTTTAGGTATCTTCAGTTTTAACTGATGTTTTATATGGGTGATGGTGAAGTGTTTGCTGGTTCATGTCATTTAATAGATGCTTCTTGTCCACAGGTTCGAGTGGACAAAATCAATGTAGATGGATTGTCCAGGACAAAAGATGATATAATCATTGCCACTGTAAAGGATTTGTTCCAAGCAAAGGATTTCCAAGAGGTGATTCTTTGTGCACAGAAAGTTCGTGGGAAACTTGAAGGACTCGGATGTTTCCGGAACATAGGAATATTCATCGACACGAGCTCTGGCCCAGGTGCTACTCCTGAAGGACTTGAGGTATACAACTTCATCTTACCTTTCATTGGTCAGAATTTTATGAACATTTCATAGTTGATGCATATTATATGGTTACATATAATGTCGATACGTTTGATAGAACATTAATATAAATTGATGTAGGAATCCATGAGGACTTACATAATAGGACTAGGTCATTGAGGGTGTGGATTATATTTCAAAAGAAATGTGTTGGCAAATGCAGCCATTATTTAGAGCTGTAATGGACCTCCTTTCCTGTTGTCTACTTATCTCTGAATTCTGTCATATGTCGGATAGATGGATTAGTCATCATTCCTTTGCCTCTTTGCCGTTTGCATTGATATCCTATATTGATAAGCCTGTGCACTACTGTTTGACTGTGAATGATTAATTGTTTCTATGTTACCTGGATTTTTTGAAGTTCACATTATACCAGTCCAGAACCCCTGTAACTGTTGGAATTAAAATTTGAACTGGCCAGCAAATCATGTGTGAAAGATCCCACGCTAGCAAGTAATGTGTGGAGGTTCCCACGCTAGCAAGGTTTAACTTGAAGTTTTGTTGTACTGTTTTCAGGTCACGTTCCATGTACGTGAATTAAAGCGTATTGTTGGAGGAGTGAATACGTTGGTCGGAAATAATGAAGGTTCACTTGCGGTGGGAATGCGGATGCCAAATCTGTTTGGACGAGGAGAGAAGCTACACACTGAGTACAGTTATGGGGCCAAGAAAACATCCGCTTTTACTGTCTCATATACAAAACCACTTCGAGGGAGTCTGAGTCCAATGTGCGTTACAAATGGTACAGATTAGTGTGTACTTTTACATAGTCTGTATGGGCACAGTCTGTCAACTCTGGAAGACTGATATTGATACTCTTTGGCACATACATTTAATGCAATGTATGTAGCAGTGTTTATAACATTTTCTCAAGCCTAACTATACTTATTCAGGTAAAAGATATTGAAATTTCACACATTGAAGGCAGTGACTATACAGAATTGTTTAATCAAATTTTTGTGGCATTTTTGTGATGTGATTTTTTAACACTTTTGGCTGTTAAAGATGTATCATTGACATGGAATTTCAAGTGCTAAGTGCTTGAGGATTGCATGAAAGTTGCAGCCATTGTGGAAATGCTGTCCCTGCATTTATTTGATCATTGTACTGGATAGACTGAGAAAACCACAAAAGCCTTCCACAAGTGGCAGATATCTGTGTTTTGTGTTTGAACCTGCCACCTCCTGAATAGAAAGTGAATGATATTTTGTGTTTTATTGATTGAAATCATTCAGCATTTGTATTTTCATAGAAGTTGAATAATTTGTTTGATAATTATTAGATGAGACACAGACGAACATATAAAAGACTGCCATAAATTTCCCTTTATTGTGGAATGAGGAAAGTAAGATAGGAACTATCTATTAGTAGCTTAACCCTGTAATGGGTCATTGATGCCTCATTTCGGAGGTTTCTTGGTCTTTGAAGTGTGCATTTGTGAGTAGTGAGTGACAAGCCCATTGACTGTAGGATTTCTACTCAATCCTGATTTGACTGCCAGAGCCATCTAGCAGTGAATCAGGAGGGACTTGGGTGAGAAATGGCCGCTGAATGCCATAAATGAAACATCTCTTATCATGCTCGCAAGGTTCTTTTACATGCCATAAATCTACGACATGGGGCCACCGGCTTTGCTTCCTCTCCGAAAGAAGTTGCGCTACGGATTTTTATCACCCTTAAAAATCCATTGACCTCGGCCGGGATCGAACCCGCGAACCTTGGGTCCAGTGGCAAGCACGCTAACCACTAGTCCACCGAGGGCAACAAGATAGGGACTACTAGTTTTAATTTTTTGGACTTTTTCAATAGTTACTATCATTATGCTTCCTTGAGGAAACATAATGACAATTGAAAAAGTAAAAAAAATTGAAATTAGTAATTCAACACCATCGTCAATAACATTTAGAGATGAAGATATGAACTGCAGAAACTGTCTTTCTGACACTATCTTTTTTACAGGGCTTGCTACCTGGTGTAAAATACATTCAGGCTCAACTTAGAAATTTGTGACGTGTGCATGTTAAGAATGTGTTCTTGTAGTTTGTTATATTTGATAAAAGGGTTTTACCAATACACATTTATCAATAGAGAAAACAGAAAATGACAGCTGACTGTGACTGTTCCTGATGATGATTATTTTTCTTGTATTACTATATTTTCTCAAACCTAACACAATTTGTGGTCATGTGGTTAGGACTCTGCTTTGCATTTGGGAGGTTCCATGTTCAAGCCTTGGCACTCAGAGACTGTCTTGGCTGACCCTTCTTCTTCTTACTTGGCGCTGCAGTTCAAAGTTGAACCTTGGCCTCTTCATTCTTTCGCCTCCATTTGGCTGACCCTTGCCAAATTGTAATGTAGTTATGGGCAATGAGATATGAACCTACAGTGGGTGCAAAATCGTGCTTGGATGACCATAACGGATGCACATGTGAGAGGGAGGAGATTACTGTTAAACATTGCACGTACAGAGCGATAACCCAGTCTTTCCTTGTCCTCTTAGATGTGAAATTGTTAAGTTTAGGCTGTAGAAGTAGCGTGTGCATGTTAAAACTTGTGCCTGCATTGCTAGTGTTGTACACTTGCTTTTGGTTTAAAAAACTGTGGTAAAGTGTTCAAGTCAGTATATGGAAATGCTGCCAGTTCTGTAAAAATTAAAAGGGGAAAAATGTTTTCAGTTACGGTATAGATATTCAGACCAAGTGTTTGTCATTTTTTTCCTCCCTGTCCCAACTTACTGTGAAATAGCCCAAGCTTGGAGTTATTTTGTGCCCATGGTACAAATTTGACTTTGAGACAACATTTATGCAGCTATTTTAAATTTTGATGATGGCACTTCCCCTCTATAAGTCTTGCAAAAAAAGATGATGGCTTCTGTATTTTCAGTTATGTGGCTACTGTTAAACTTTGAACTTAATTTACTGTTACTTGACAACAATACGCAACAGTTTGGATGATTAAGCAATTTAAAAGCTTCGAGAAATGCGGCCTAGAACATTCCCGTTGGTCCATGATTTTTCACAGTAATCACCATAATTGCTATCCAGAATGCTTCAGTACAGCACCCCACCTTGCGGTTTATAAACCTGGCATCAATACCCCCTCTCCCCTTTTTGTTTCCAGTATCGAAGATTTTCCTTCAAGGATATCAATTTGAAGCTTTTAAAATTCCCTGGAAGCATATAAACAGGAGAAGTATCATAAAATGAGTGCTTCCATAGCTGATTAAGGAGGTTGGAGTTTTTATCTGAGCAAGGGAACAGTTCATTCCATAAGTTTAACCTTTGGTACAAAGATATTATCAGATTATCCATGGCTCAAAACATTTCCATTTACCTACTTAAGAACACTATTTCTGACTTCTTGGAACTAAGTATTTATGTCCCATCTGTGATTTTGATTTTTTAGTATCACAGGCACAGTATTCCAAGCGGGATCCGAGTGGCCTTGGTCAGGATACAAGCAGATTGAAAGGGGCCTTCTCATAGATTTCGGATTCAATTCAGCACCTTGGGTAATAATGTTCAGCATTTTTACTTGTTGTGTAATGCAAGATAGCCTTAAGAGAGTTCATGTCTGTCCTTTATGTTATGAACCCACACACTGGTTTTCACAAATCCCAATCTTTGTGGGATGTATCCTATCATCACACCGGTGATTTTTGGACAGAGGATGTACAGAATTGTTATGTGAAAGTAACTTTGCTTTGGTTAGGAAGCATAGACACATTTGCTTGATTTAGGATATTTCATGTGCCATTGTCTTTGCTTATTACTTTAGATCAATTTTAGAGTATATTCTGAAATTTCCAGTTGTGTTGGTGTGACAGAAATGTGAAAGTCTTGATACCCAAAAAGTTTGTAAAATAAATATAAATTCAAACTCATCTTATGCAAATAATGATTGTGACAAAGTTGATTTGAATTGGACTGAGGATCTTTATATTTGTTCATAGAAGAAGAAGAACCATGATATATAAAAGAATTGATAATTGTAACTTTTTTCAAGTAACGTTACAGAGACGCTCCTGTTTGTGTGTTGACAGATTAGACACAACTTGCAGTGGGAAGGTGCTTGGCGAGATGTATCATGTCTGACTCGCTCGGCTGCGTTCCAAGTGCGTGAACAGACAGGTCCTAGTCTTAAATCATCAGTTCGCCATATATTGTTGTTGGATCGCAGGGATACAGCCATCCTTCCCAGCTCTGGTTCCCTTGTCAAGTTAACGCAAGAGTTGGCAGGTCTTGGAGGCGATGTTGGCTTCTTCAAGAATGACCTCTGCTTACAAGGCAACTGGACACTCTTGCCAGACATGGTATTCCATACTCCTTTGTAAATTAGTCATTAAATACAGGAGACACAAATGCTAATTTGAAGGGCACATTTTTGATAGCAATATTAAACCTGATTCTATTGCCAGAGAGCATGTTACTTCCGCTCGTGTATGTGCATTACAAGTTTCTTGTACTGTGCATGGTTGTGTAGTGGTTAGCATTCTTTTATACTTTGAAGATTCTAAATTAGAATTTTTGCAGACACTGACTACTGTTGAAGGAACTGTTGTGGTTTTCCATGGTCTCTTCAGGCAAGTGGGATAGAACTTTGAAATAGGTACACTTCCACTTCTACAGTCTGAGCTTTGTTATTTATGATCATCCTGACATTTGGTATTATATAACATACACAGTAGATAAAGTGTTGGTAAATGAAGGAAGAAGCAAGTCAACTCCATGGGTTTTTTTTTGGGGGGGGGCAAAAACATGCGCATGCACACCTGAAGGATCTGAATTTTTTGTAAGCCCATTGTAAAATATTTATTCATATAATTTGTTACTGTTTATAATTTACACAGCCCTATCTTTATACAAGGAATTATGGAAAACAAATTAAATGCTTTGTCACAACTTCTAGCTAAAATTTTTTATGGTTAAACATATGTGGACATATGTAATATACTAATAATGTAATTTGTGCCTTCACATATGCCTGCCTCCTAATTTTTATGTTTTTTCACAGTCCCAGTTTATGATATGCTTCGTGTGTTGTGTTTACAGGTGTTGCAAGCAACGCTTCAGGCTGGCTTTCTTACACGGATAAGCAACAATTTGAATGTCAGCATTTGTGACCAGTTTTTCTTAGGTGGTCCTATGTCATTACGAGGTTTCAATACAAGGGGCGTTGGGCCACACAAAGATGGAAATGCTCTAGGTGCCAGCGTAAGTAATGGCTGTAATGTTGAAATGATGAACTTGATTTTAATAAGATATCTGTTTGTAATGGACACAGACTGGCTTAATGGGGTTTGTGTTTACTGGAGTTCACATTACTTTGATTTCTTTGTTTTTCTTTATGGTATTTATTTCTTTGCCTAATCAATTAACATTATCTCAGCGTCGACCAGAAACTCATATCTCATTCATTTCCAATCTCTCTTTGTTTCCATGGACCTTCCTGATAGCATGTTCTGAAGGAAAGTTGAAAAGTAATGGTGAATAAGCATTTCAGACAAAGCAGACAGTTGTTTGCCTCGATGGACTTTAATATAGGTTTAATTTAAATAAATTTTAATTATCCTAATTAGTTTTATGGGTACACCGAATTAATGAGAATTTTTACAATAATTCCTTCATAACTGAATCATAAGCGTTCATGAAGTGTGTGCATGTAGCTGATGTACTGCCCCATTGTACTCCCACTTTTTCTCCAGTGTCTGATGATTGCAGAGTATCTGTTCAATAGCTGATTGAGTTAATCTTGACAGAAGAATGCTGGATAAAATTTTATATGTAATTGGTAGCATTGATATTCTTTGATAGTTGCTGCAGCCAGTTTTTATCACCTTTCTGTTAAATAGGCACAATAATAGATTCCTTTCACTGTTCTTGCAGTTTTTCATTTTCCAAACAGAATTAATAAGTTTGTGGATCTCAGAATGTTTTACATCGTGCTTAGATAAATTCAGTTAGAACGGTACTTGACAATTTATACCTTTCCTGTTTACCAATAGCTTGTATGTATTTCAGTCTGTTAAACATTGTTAATCCCATGTTTGTTTGGTATCTGGCAAAAGTAATTCTTCTGGAATATTGTGGGAATCTACAGACATGTCACATGGCCTTTGTACCTTAACATTTATCCTCATTATTGGGTGCATGCACATTTAGTGGAATATCACACCAACAGCCTCTTTGTGTCATACAGTGTCCCTCTCACTTTGGGTGGTTGGTTATTCATTAGCTTATTTTGAGTGAAAGATGTTGTATCGACATGGGTCAAATTCTCAACTGTTAAATAATTATTGTGGATGGAAATGGTTGTAACTCAGAGAAACATGCAGATTAATTTATATTTGAATTGGGGAAAACAACTTGTGTTGCTTGGGAACAACAATAACAAATCAAAATGATACTCATGAGGAAGTTAGGAGGAGACTAAATTCCAGAAACGCTTGCTACTTCTCAGTTCAAAATATTTTGTCTTCTTGTCTGATTTCTAAAAACCCGAAGATTAAAGTATACAAAAGAATAATTCTGCCTGTTGTTTTGTATGGGTGCAAAACATGGTCTCTCACTCTGATGGAGGAACATAGATTGCAGGTGTTTGAGAATAGGGTGTTGAGGAGGATATTTGGACCTAGGAAAGAAGACGATGGGGTCTGGAGAAAACTGCATAAAGATGAACTTAAATATTTGTACTCCTCCGCTAATATTGTCAGGGTGATTAAGTCAAGAAGAATGAGATGGTCAGGGCATGTGGCACACATGGATGGGACAAGAGATCTAGATGTAGATGGACATAATCTCAGGCAGGATCTATGGGAGACAGGAATTGAAGGAGACTGGATTTTGTTGGCCCAGGACAGGGTCTGGTGGAGGGCATTGTGAGCTCAGTGATGAACCTTCAGGTTCTATAGGCCATCTAGTTAGTTAGTTTAGCTTGTATTGCTTTCCTTATGCTTTCATCATTGTTCTGTATAAAGCAGCAATGTCCATGATGTGCCATAAGAGTTCATCTTGTGTCTGTGTTTTCTGGCAAACAGGGTGGCCAGGCATGCAGACCTCCATGACCAATCCAAGTATTTCCATAGCACCAGTTCAAGTACTGTGTGACTTGTAGGCTGAAATGAGGTGGAGCACCGTCATGTACATGATTAATCTGGCCTGCAGAGGAACACCTTCCAAAAGAAGTATTAGCTCATCCTGTACGAATTGCAGGTAGTAGTCTGCTGCCCAGTTAGTTGGTTGTCAGTAAGACCACACCATGCATGCAAGTACTTGGGAAAAAGATTGAGGATATAATGACAGAGAGACCATGGTAGTTGATTTATCTGACAAATATTGAAAGGTTGAGGTTTCAGCCTATGTTGATGCAACATTTTTCACTCAAAATAAGCCAGTGAATAGCCATATGAAGTTTGGCAGACATCTTGTGGGACACCTTTATAAGATGTCCTATCGCTAATAAACTGTAGCCTCCTACCTTCATGAGCTAGAAGGAAAAATAATTGGAAATAAATTTTATGTTTGCGCGTTCTGTTTCGTTGCCAGGGACACCCTCTGTACAGGGTTAGTATGTCATTGGGCAGTATGAAGATTTGAATGACTGAAAGTTACAGAAAACAGATAAATCCTTATATTTGTTTGAAATTTTTTGTGGTCCATTACAGGTATATTAAGTAGAAAACATAATTTGTTTCCTTTTTGGCTTTTGTTGTTTTATCCCTTTCAGTAAATCCTGAATTGAAATGAACAGCATGTTTTGTGGGCGTTGCTCTGTAATGCCTTTGTAAATCTTCCCTCTGTCGTGCTTTTCAGTTCCGTGGTATTAGCAATACAAATATGGTGATTCTGCAACATTCCGAGGAAGTATATGATACAAAGCTGTCATGGTGACCAAGCTCTTAAGCCAACAGATACATCAAGTGGTCAAAAGAAACATATATTGGGAACCATCTTGGGCCCCATGATCAGGAATTTGATTTGTTGATGGGGACAGAGATGGTTCCTGAAATGTTTGTTTTGACCGCTTGATGCAGCTGATGGCATACGTTTTTTTAAAAAGTACTAGAATACTAATATTAATGTCATTTGATATCAGAGCCTGAAAATTTATGAGATATAGTAAACACCTGATTATCTGTGAAAAGACTATCCAGTTTGTCAATTGAGTTATGCTGGTTCTTGTGTCTAACGGTGGAAATCTACCAGCATGGAGGAAACGGCTTCTAGATCTGGTGGTAGATGAGTTGCATGGTTTTTCTACAAAGAAATCACCAAGTCTGAAACTTGACATGGTGTGAGCCATGAGAAATATTTGAAATGTTAGGATTTGAGGTTTTGACAGCGGTGAGTCAGAAGATCACCTTGATGATTAAGGCAGTATGACCTCTGAAACGGTGGAAATCTACCAGACTACACGGCACAATAACCAAAGAAGACAGAAATCTTTTTAAAATGTTGACAGGGATAACATGAACATTTGCCAAAGAGTAATGCATGTGAACTGGGCTTTCAGCACATGACAGACACGGACATTATTAGTGCTGCCACACTAGAAAAGGGTGGGTGAGGGGGTGAGTGTGAAGATGAAGGAGAATGTATCATTGCACAGTGCTGCAGTGTGCTGATACTTTACTAGACTGCGTGGGTCAGACTGGGTTTGAATACAGTGACATTATAGCAGCCAAGAAAATGTGTACTGACATGATAGAGTCTAAACAGTTTACAAAACAAGTGACCATTACAATCTTCTTCTCAAAATAAATGTCAGTTATATTTAAAAAAATAGTGTAATGTTTAATATTTTGTGAATGCACCAAACAATATTTTGCATTATCTGTGTTTTTAAATTATTTTTATGCCTTCTTCTCTTTATTAGCCCAGATATTGAATAGTTTAATGTATATAATTTTGAATATTATGTAACTTGCATTGTCATTTAATGTAGAATATATGTTAAGTTGTGAACCAGCTACAGCTGTGAAATTTGGTAATTATAAACATACAACATTTTGTATCTCATTGTTTAGTGAGTTAATTAAATGCCAAAAAATGGTTGTGTTTGACAAATTTAAAGGGATAGTCATATATACAGTGGTATTAATAAATATTTGCTGTATTATAGAGGAGAACCTTAAACTGGGGGACAATAAGTGAACTTCTCACTGTGTTAGGCTATACATGAATTTGTTGCATATTTATGAATTATAATTTTTTTCACTGATAAAATAATTTAAATGAAAATATCTTGTATTTTTACAGAACTTCCTGTTGATATTGTGAGTCAGTGTTGTGCTCCTTGTTTCAGGCATACTGGGCAGGCGGCCTTCATTTATTCACTCCTCTTCCATTCAATCCTGGTAAGGGAGGTTTTGGTGACCTCTTCAGGACACACATTTTTATAAATGCTGGAAATCTGGGCAATGTGTATTTAGGTAAGACAGATATTTGTTTTTAGCTTTGAGTTTCATACTTGTTTTGCCCTTAAATTGTCATATACTCAGTAGGTAAGAGAATTGGTGAAACGTAACATAGTAATTGTGTTAAACATTGCTGTCCTTAAATTGCCTGTTGCTGTGGGTTCACCGTTTTTGGCCGCTGACCTTGTTGGGAGAACCCAATATGCGGACCACTCAATGAAGGAAGGAAGAATGGAAGCAATTAGGTTTGCCACTTGTTTCCATCAGTCTGTTGGTGCAGCAGTGTGGAAGCCTGATATTGTTGTCTTGTGACTATGCTGTGTTAACAACATGCCAGCTGTTCATTGCAATCTCCTTTCTGGTCATTGATAACACCTCGTATCACAACACTTGGACAAACCACCAACGTCTAACTCAAAGGACGAAATGAAAGCCTGGCTATTGGAAAGAAACATCCCATTTTGTGGCATGTTGAAAGCTCAACTGTGCAATTCAATCAAATTAAATAAGTCAAAGCACATATATTATGTGATTGATCAGATTTTAGCAGACAAAGAACAAACATATTAAATGTACCACCAACCAATTGCATTCAGGGAAAACAAATTTATGTTAATATTATTTTTTGATTTTCTTATTTAGTTCACATACCACTCAACATTGGCCCATGTACCACCAATGGTATGCGTAGTACCATAGGTTGAGAAATGCTGCTCTAAAACATAAAATTTGAACTGTGAACTTCCTAGTAAACAGAATTCAGAATTGACCAGTCACTCCTACCTAGTGCCGAGGCTAAGAATGAATAGGAGCTCCCCCCAAGTACCTACAGGGCATATAGTGGGACAGCTTTACTCTTACTTTTTACGCCCATAATATTTGGGACAAGTTTTGTCTTATCGGCATTAAAAGCTGAGAGAGCTTCTTGAGTATATTTTTAGAGTTATGAGCTGCTTAAGCCTGGGATATATGTTAATTTGAGGGGCATCTTTGTTTATTATTATCTTTACAGGTCAAGAAATACCCACGAGTTTGAAAGCTTACACCAAAACAACGCGTTTGTCATATGGAATGGGTGTTACATTACGTTTGGGTCAGATGGCCCGTGTTGAGCTGAACTACTGCATTCCTGTCCTTTTCCAGCGTGAGGACCAGCCAAATCCTGGTGTGCAGTACGGCATTGGCATACATTTCCTGTAATTCCGATGTCTATGGAAAAGCAATAATAAATTTTTGATTTGCAGACATGAGGCTAAAATATTTGTCCAAGATGCAGAGTTGTACTGATTAATTTTGTGCATTCTGGGTAAGGTTGGTGTTTGTGCTTAGAAATACACATGTGGACTTGTCCTTAACTGGGTGATAAGCCTATGAAAATTAGGGAATATCTCCGCTTCTAATCACAACAAATGGATATTATCAGTTTGTGTCTCATTGCAAGTATACTGCCAATTTAAAATCAGCATTTTATTGCCACAAGTTCTGCAAATCAAGGCTAGTCTTAGGTACTTGTAGCTTTAAACCATGACTTCAAGAAGTTAACAAAATTTATAATGTTAATATGTAAATTTTCAGCAATTATGTTTCCAGCTAATGACTTCTTTTAACAAAAGAACTTTGCTGTATTATTTTACATAATCAAGTGTTTCATACTGGGCTGTTGTTTACAATACAGATTTGTTTACATTTGTACATAACTTGGCTGAAAGAGATAAGAGAAACGTAATAGAAGAAAGTTCATTATTAAACTGAAAATAACACAATCTGATACATATTTATTTCACTTGGATACTGTGGTTGTTCAGTCCTGTGTCGTAAACCCCATTTACAAAATTTTTGTGTGTTTTCATTTCCGTAAGTGCAGCTTTAACTGCTTTAGTGCAAGTCCAAAATATTACAAATTTCATATTGTATGAAAATGCATGTAACTTTTACATTCTGTGTCCTATATGAGCTTATTATGTATTTTGAAAGCAGAGTTTTGGCACGTTTTCAATATGTAGGTAATATTCATGTGTAAAACAAAAATTTAAATGAAAAAAATTGTTTTATGAGCATTGGACAATAATGACAAAAAATTAAATCCTGAAATACAAAATATGGATATCATTCATCGTTATATCAACATCTGTTGAAAACTTTAAATTATCCAAAATTAGTAATATAACAGGTGTGTATATTAAGAAATATATGAATTTTGACATATTTTGGACACACATTTATCTTGTTCTTCATCCCCATCCGCATGTTGCCATTCTGTCTTCACTCCTTTAGGTAGAGCAGAAGCCAAACAAGCTTGCCAGTGGCCTGGGATGCACAGAAACATAATTTGGTTTGTATGCCCAGCGGTCATAGTGGGGTATGTCAGTGTAATTGTCTGTCATGCCCCACACCGAGGTGGATTTTGCCACATCCAAAGGAAATTCTGTGCATCTTCCATCAACAACCTTGATTTGTAAATAGCCTGTACAAAAGTGGTCTGACCCCAGCCTTTCTTATGAAAAGTCTTTGTTGGTGTTTATACTTGGTATTCAGTCACTTTGCCCGACCAACTGCAAGTTTTCAACGTATATACTTCCTAATTGCTGTTCAAAACTACATCAGTTCCCTGCACACTTTTCTTTACCTTGATAAGAATTAATTTTAATTAGTTGTACTAAACCTACAACCCACAGGTTTCTTGCCGCCCACGGCACCTCCTCGTGTGACCCCCTTAATTCTGTAAAATTTAAAACTTTCGGGCTCTGTAATTTTTAAAAATATTGGACGCCCGTCGCAGGGAAGCAATATGGTTTGTCATAATGTCCAATGTTTCACGTGATCTACCCACTTCGGCTGCGAACTCCCGATGTTTTATGTTGATTGGTCACAGAGGGCAGCATCATCTTGTGTTCGATTGTGCAAGAACGGAACTGAAAGAGGAACCATGCATGTCCGTTGGCTTTACCTATGGTCGGCTGCAGGTACCGTCTGGCTGCGTTGTTGATCTGTGACGTTCTTGTTCCATGCCGGGAAAGACGAAAGTATGTTACTTATTTTACGTCGATTTCTTAGGAACATTAGATAAGATCTGTTACTACCTTTATTGCGGGAGTGTGAATTATAATTATTTGTGTCATGTGGACTGTACTTAATAAGAGTCAACATTTGTTAAATCTGTGATTGACAGCGTTTTGTGGGGTTATGTTTGTAACTTTAGTCTGTGGTTATCAGGGAGAGTACGAAATAGCTTTCTTAGTACAAATTGCCCATCGGATTTTTGTTTCACATAACAGTCCTTGGCATGGTCCGAATTAACTTAAAATGTCATAAGATGTAACTAATTTTAGAGGGCGGTATTCTGAGTGACAGATTGTTACTCACCTCAATCTCGTCAGATTTCGATTGGACCTGGGCATCATTCCACTTATTAAGAACCCATCTTAATTAAGAGATTTGTAATAAAATAACTAGTTTTTATGTGAAGTCAAATTCTGGCTATGGAATTGTTGCTTTGTTAAGAGTATGTTGTATTACAGGTTGGGGTGATGTGCTCTCTTCATGGCTTTCCTGCCTTTCCACCAGTGGGGCATATCTCCTTGTGTGAGGTGGAGGGGAGAGTGCACTCCATGCATGCAGAACAGGCCGATGTCCTTCTTTTTACCAACGCAGTGAGCATCATGTTGTCCAAAGGGATTTATTAATGCTTTATTAATTTACAGATTGCTTTTTGCAGTTTTATATAGGGTAATTGTAGGATCACTCTTTTTGTCACTCAGGTACTGAGTCGTACAGATGATTAGATAGGCGGTGTTGCCACCTGAGCTAGATAAATAGTAGGCCATCAGTGCCACATCCAGGCCAAGGCAACTGTGTGGCACCTTACAACATGCTTGTAGTTAAACAAGCTCATCCCCAGATTTCAGAATTTGAAAAATCTTTCAGGCCAGAAATTAATTCATTTAATTTTGTCCATTTGGAGTGTGAGTGATATGGAGTGAAAGCTGGGAGTATATGTTGCCTAGTGAAATGATTACCCTTAAGGGAACTGTTTATTCATTTGTATTTATGTATTTTACATTCGTATTTAGTTCACTTCAAATAATGTGGTATCATTTGTTGAGATTTGTCTTCCCAGCATTAAAATATTCCAAGAATGATGTTCTTCATAGTATGCAACATTTGACTACATTGAACTTTGCTTTCAGGTTGCATCACATCCTCGCATTACAATTACCCGAGACTTACTGCACTCAAGTGTTTGTCGAGAAGACTCACGGAGAATTTTCCTTCCAGTTTCAGAAACACTATTCAAGAAACTGACAAATGTTTGGTGAGTTTCTGAGCCCTGTTCTGAGCTAACCATCTCATTCACATCACCGAAACTGATTGACATCTTCTTTAGGAGATCGTTACACTCTGGCATGAGTGAAAAACACTTTATGACCCTGTCCATGTCTCTCTGCCTCAGTTTTCCCAGGAATTAGGCAACTTGCAAGGTCACTGTTGGGAGACAATGTAGCAACAGTGTGAACTGGGTGATTGTTAGAGCACATTGTTGCAATAATATGTGCCGAGATCATTATTGGAGTACTTTTTTGCAACAGTATGAACCTAGGTCATGGTTGAAGTGTATTGTTGCAACAGAGTGTGCCTAGGTCATTAATAGAACGTATTGTTGCTACAGTATGAACTGAGATCATTTTGTAGGAGTTGTATAATGGGAAATGTTTCTTTTTAGGATTCAGGGTTTTCATGGCGGTGAATCAAAAGATGGCTGTCTTCTGGGTTTGTTGAGCTGTGTAGTCTGGTAGAAGTTTACCGACGTTTCAAAGGTCTTTGCTGCCTCCATCATCAGGGCGCAACAATGCAGAAGACAGCCATATTAAAATGTTTCCTTGTTGAACATGTGGATGGCATGATACCTTCTCTGGTTACAGATCCATCTGTAGTACCTTCAGATGTTCCAGTCTTTATTAACCCCTATAAGTGGAATTTCCCCATTTAAAGGGAATTTGCTTTTTAAGTGACATTTTTTTGGTCCCAGTTAACAACAGATAATGAAGACATTCTGTACACCTCTCCAATCTTATGCTTTAATGCAACAGAAGAACACTTTATGGGTCCACCCATGTCTCTCCTATCTATCATTTAGCCATCTGCTAATTGTTCATTAGTTGTTTTTATTAAAAGAATCAGGTCTTTTTCTATTTCTCTAAAGTATTATTAGGCCAGATTATATACTACTGCCTTTTTCTTGTCCAAATGAATCACTTTGTAGTGGTTTGTACCTCACAATATGCTTGCAATATATTGTTTTTCATGTGCTTCAAAGGAATCACTTTGTAGTGGTTTGTACCTCACAATATGCTTGCAATATATTGTTTTTCATGTGCTTATACAGTAGGTTCCGGTTAATCGGGGCAGCCGTTTATTTTTGGACAAATCTTAAAGAACAAACCTTTTTAACTCTTTATGCGGAACTTTGCATAATTTGGGCAGCCGCTTAATTGGGAAAAAGTGTTCTGGTCCTGATGTGTCCCAATTAACCAGAATCCACTGTATTGGTATTTCAGCCAATTATCTTATTAATTACTGAATTTCACTTTATAAATTCTAAATCTTATTTATTTTTCTAGTCATTAAAAATTTACACTGTGTGCATCATGCACACTAAGTTTTAGTTTTACACTGATAGATTGCTGTGCTCTGGGTTCTTCGCACCTTGTTTCACAGGTATGAACAAGGGCTGGTAGAGGCACTGCATGTTACAGCTGAGCCACAAGATGGCAGGGAGGTGCCTGTAGTTCTACAGGTCATTGCTGCTTACATGCTTAGAGTAATTTCTGGGATGAACTACATACGCAACTCATTCCATCCTCATCTCAGGGTAAGATGTTTCAATTTTTTTTTAAAGCAGCTTAATAAAATAAATGCAAGTTTCTTCAACACGCTTAGGAAAGAGGATGAGAGCATTTCAAGGCAAGTGTTGGACTGGAACCCGCAAGGAGCACAGAAAAGAGGAAGACCGAGGATTACGTGGCCGAGATCTATTGAAAAGGAAGCAAGATCACAGGGGAAATTTGGAAGTAAATAAAGGCACTCGCCAACAACCGAGTGAGGTGGAGGAGCTTTATATCAGCCCTATGTTCCCAAGAGGAATAAAGGGAATTAACTAACTAAGTTTCTTCAAACATGAATTTACTGTTTAGTGTAGCGTGTCAGTACCAAGTATGTGGGTGCAGAGTATTTAGCTTGAGCTCAAAAAGTATCTGGTTTGAATCTTTGCCAGTGTTGGTGAGCTTAAAAATTATCTGGTTTGAATCTTTGCCAGTGTTGGCTGTCCTGACTGTGGCTTTTATGGTTTTCCTCAGTTTCTCCAGGCAAATATGAGGATTAGTAGTGGATTTGCGTTTGTCATGGCATTGAAGACATCCATGTTGGTCTACTGGTTTGTGATATCATATTGACTTGTAGGTGGGTACCAGTATTCTTGTTAAATGTTCGTACCCACCTATAAACTTATGTGGAATCATAACCGAGAAGTCCTTCATGTACTCGAGGATTGTCACTGGTTCCTTCACCTTCAGATATTGCAATGGTGACCTGAAAGTGCTAACGAGGATTCAGTACCATTTTAGTTGGTGTACACTGTCCACAGTTGAGGTTCGGTCTACTGAAAAGTGAGCGAGTAAACTAATGTAGAGGAAGAAGAATATCTCACTTTTAGACTGCATTTGGATTGTGCAGTATTCAGTTACCCTGGTTCTAGGCTTCTTCTTTTCATTAGCAAGTTACAAGTGTATTTAATCCCTGTTTGTCTCCATCTGTTTCAAGAGACTGGAAAGGTGTCTCCATACCAGAGTAAACAGAATCTCCACATGTTCTTGCACTTGTGCTTTCTGAATGCTTCTGGCTCAAAATGAAAATTGTACCAAACATTTACTATGCAAGCATTATCATGAGCTTGATATAAGAACATGAGTAATGTTTTTAGTCTAAGATAAAATTATTTATGTACTTATCTTATTCACAAAAGAAATGAAAACAAATTGAAATTCTTTCTGCTGTTATGTTAAATCTGAAGTTCTCATTGCAATGAAGATGTCATTGTTGTTCTTGTGGGTTGTGATGTCATGTGGATTTGTAGGTAGATACCAATGTTTTAGAGGAACATACTATCCAGCTTTAGCCGTGAAGATGGAAACATTATGTTTCTCTGAAATATTTTTATCTACCTACAGGTCCACATGGCATTAAAATTAATTTTAAACTATGTTTTTTTGTCTAATGATTGATTTGTTTATCTAAAACTGATTATTTTGAGAACAGCATAATTTAAAATGGAGGACAATTACTTGGCTTATGTCAAATATCTCTTAACCTGTTAATTCTAGTATTCATGAAGTAAAACAACTTTAATTCTTAAAATTACATATCATGTGTTCTTTGTGTCTCCTTTAAGTAATGTAAATCCTTTACATTTTTTACAATATAATGCAAGTTAGCTATGGTACTGTATTGGTCTCATGCACAAATAGTTATGTGACTGAATCCTGGTAGAATGGAAATTTTTTGTGTCATTATAATGATGATCATAGTGAGCAAATGTCTGGAGTGCCTTTTGATTTTATGAACCAAATTTTTATGCACTTCATAGTACAGAAGTCTCATTGTAATACTAGGGATGATCGACAATAATGTATGTAAAAGTGAAGATATCTGTCTTCTGGGTTGTTGCGTTGTGTAGTCTGGTCGATGTTAACCTACATTTCAGAGGTCATATATTATATGAATATTCATCGCCCAGATGACGAAGGCAGTATGACCTCTGAAACGTTGGTAAACATCGACCAGACTACACAGCGCAACAACCCAGAAGACAGAAGTCTTCATACTCACCACTGTGAAAACCTCAAATCTTACATATGTAAAAGTGATTTAATGCTGTTGTGTTTTAGGAATCAGGTTCTCGTGAGTGGTCTCCTGAGATGGCGATGTCATGCATGTGCTTAATGCTTGTTACAGGAGAGTGGAGACAAACTCATTGCTGCTGTATCACAGACACGAGCCTGGCCCATTAGTCCTGTGCGGTGTCTGGCGTGGCATCCACATTGCACCAAGCTGGCTGTAGCAGCATGGGATGACTCTGTTCGTGTGTACAGCCCAGGCACGTCCATCACACCCATTCTAAAATGCAAGAGTCAGCGTGCTGTGTCCTGTATGGCATGGAGGTACAAACTGGGAAAAAAAAATGATGTATCCTTTTATTCATTAAAAGAATAATTTTAATGATTTGTATATTAATATTATTACTAAACAGAGCATAAAACTGAATTCCAGCAGAATTCAAACCCATAAATAATTTAATTCAGTATGGTTAATTATATTAATCAGAGGAAGAATTTATATGTTAATTGTCACACTCATCTTGATTGCTTAATGTTCACCCACCAGGCCATTTTCTGCGTCTCAGCTGGCAGTTGGCTGTGAGGAAGGTGTGTTTGTATGGCATGTGGACCCAAACTCAGTAGTGACCCGCCCTTCCATGAGTTGCGCAACTGTGCTAAAGAGACCACATCACTCACCTGTCACCAGTGTTACCTGGAACCCACAGGGAGACGTGCTGCTCACGGCCTCTGCTGCCGACACTGCCATGTATGTGTGGGATGTGGCCATGGAAAAGTTTGTGACCTTGAGACGTGTGGGTGGTGGAGGTGTGTCTTTAGTCACTTGGTCTCCAGATGGCTCCAAGGTGTTTGCTGCCACAACTGGCATCATATTCAGGTGAGAGTGTGGCATACGTGTTCCATGCCCCTTCGTGATATATAGAATGAAAATTATAGCACATTGTATGTGATAGGGTGTGGGGCACCAGCCAATGGCTACCTGAGCGGTGGACTGTTGTTTCCGGACATGTGCAGGCTGCATGCTGGAGTCCATGCGGCTCTGTGCTATTGTTTGCCACCTCAGAGGAGCCACTGATCTACTCCCTGACATTTAGCAAGGTGGACACTGCGTTCCAGGGTGATAATACTTCAAAGACAGCTCTGCCAATTGTGGACTTGACTGAAGTGGAGGTCAATGAAGGAGAGAGGTTAGTTACATCTAGAATGCATGGCGAGACATTGTTTTCAGTTTATCATGAGAACTATGTAATGTGTTGATACACTGTATTCTGAAGTGTAGTGTAACTGCAATATAATGAGAATTTACAAAATTTAGAAAACTGTTTGGTCTCATAAATAATAATTAAGCATATCATAATATAGTAGTAAGTTTAAAAAGATAATGTTGTTAAGGCAATATTTATTCTGTTTTGAAGTGGTTAACATGGAAGTAAAAAAATAACTCGTAATAATTCAACATGCTTGATGTCTATATATAGCCTTATCTGAACCAAGAAATGGATTTTCTCATCCTAGCCTCTTGTGTGCTAAACCGATTATTTGTTACTGCTATCCTCCACAAGCAGAAGACCTGCCTTGTTATTTGCTGTGCACATGCGAGTCCCACCCACACCCCCTCATAATTCATGGTGGGTACATACGTGTGAGAATGAATATATTGACATGAATGGAATTTGGCTTGACAGTTATAATACACAAAGAAGTCAAACCACCTCTTACATAGGTACATGACATTTTGCTTATCTGTCATATACAGCAGCTGAGAATATTTTCAATAAAGAAAAAATCCATACTGCTTCCCAATCTTTGATGAGTCTCCAACTTCACAGAGAAATATTTTCACTTAAGGCTTCATATTCAATTCTAATCACTAACCATGTGGTCATTTAGCGATATGTTCACAGCCTTCAGAAGATTTGTTGATAAGGTCTCTTCCCCATAATGTGCACTCAACCTGTGAAGAATTTAAGCTGGTTTTATTTTCACCAGAAATTTGATGATACAGCACTGTTCTGCACTTAAGTGACAGAGTATGATATTTTTTACTGTTTCTAGATTATATACACAAAGAGTATGGCCTTGTGCATGAGAATGAGAGCATTGTTGCCACCATCTGCCATGAAAAGTATTTTGTCATTCTGGTGAAGTTTGTATAAAAAGAATCAAGATCAACCGTGAACCACCAACATATTTAATGAAACAAGGAAGGGTTCCAAACATTTTTGTTGTTAAGAGGCAGAGCATCAGCTGGTTTGAATCACCAGTGCCTGCTGTGTTGTGTGATGTTACTTCTTTCAGGTTGAGCCAACAGCTTTAGTAGATCATTTGAACACTTTGCACTTCTGTGAAATGATGTCATTTCTGTAACTAACAACCCCTCATGTTACATACACACACAGATCAACCTTACGATGTAAGTGAGTGTTCAGTGGTGGAAATTCCATAAGTGCATGCCTAAGGGTTTATGTCACATGCACCACCTGCCACAGTTTTCCTGTTTTCATACACATCCTGTTGTGGTAATGGTATTTACCACACCTTTTGAGCAAGCCTGGTGTAATGTGTGATGTTAGATGTTGCGTACTTGATGAGTAATGTTTCCTACCATGTATGTATTTCAGAGTGGGTGGCGTTGTTGTATCACTGATGTGGGACACCAGGGGGCAACACTTGGCTGTGATGTTTAAGAAGACAGACCTTGTTGCCATATTTTTGACGGAGCTACACGCTTTGCTGCAGGTGTCTCCATGGTAACTACTTGCACTAAATTTGGCTGAAAAGTGGCATGTATCAGTGTCTCTTGACTTCCCAATATTATTAAAAGTTATTATTCTGTTATGAGATAATATTATCATCTCTGCGCATTTCTGTTTGTGTTTTCATGTTTGAACAAATTGATTAATTTTCGTGATATTCAGAATCAAGCACTGTTCAGAGTGTACTACTTTGGAAGCTGAGTGTGTGAGATGGAAGCAACATTGGCTCCAGTCAATGTAGGATCATGAAATTTTAATTTTAACATTTTTATTTATTTTTTAACAGAAATTGAAAATAGTGCTTATCAGTTTGACAAATTCAGAATAACTTGTCTCATGTATAAAAATGTAAAGATTAAAATAATGAAACTACAATTTTTCCTGTTTAGTGTGGGTGTGAAACTTGCTTTCACTTACGGGAAGAACATAGAATAATAATATTTGGATTGAAGATGAATGAAGTAACAGGAGGCTAGAAAAAAGTGCATAATGAGGGAGTAGTTTCATAATTTGTACTCATGACCAAGTCAAGTCAAGGCATGGACAGGGTGAGAATTGTTGTTTGATAATTCAAAGGGGAAAGAACACTTGGCAGATGGAGGCATAAATGGGAGGATATTGTTTAAAAATAGATCTTCAAGAAAAGAGAAATGAGGGTGATGAATGGATTCATTCCGCTCTTGTAACAACACACAAGGAAGATGTTGTGGAGTGGAAAGGTAACTGATTTTAGAATCCCTGTGAACTCTGGTATTAGTCATTAACTTCATTTGCAAACAAAACTGCACATCATACAAATATTAGTAAAATGCCAGTTGAAAT